TGAGTAAGAAAACACTCATAATTATGATAAATACTCATAATAAATAGCTGAAGGACAGTGAGCATTCAGAGAATAGAAACTATGGGTAGGGAAAAGTGGTGTGATATGTGTAACAGTAAAAAGGTAAAAAGTTAAAAAGAAAGACAAGCTGCTTATCAATAATAATTTAAAAAAAAAGATTCTGAAAGTGTGATTCTGAAAGTGTGATCTTGTGAAGAAATCTTTGGAAACCCCATTTTTTGAGATTCTTAAAACTAGAATGGGCAAAGCACTAAATAATAAACTAGTTAGATTCCTTCCTGTCAGAAGGCTTGAATAAATATACAACTGAGGTCTGTTTTTCTCTAGTTTTAGGAAAATTTTACTCAGGCTGTCATTTGCCTCAGTGATAATAAATAGCCCTTTGGAAGTCTGAAGCTGACATTTGAGTCTTTAATGAACGTTTGGTTTTTGTCTCTGGTTTCCTTGTGAATGCCAGACTGCTGGCTGTGATTTTATTCTCCATGAGCAGTGAAGCATGTATTTAAAGCATAGGTATTCACGCAAAGTCTCACAATGGGCTCTGCAAACTAATTTAAGAAAATTAAATAGGTCAAATTTTCAGCCTCTCCACTCTAACAATATCCTTGTAAGAATGCCGTTATACCGTAAGCAAACCATCGCTCTTCGTAAGATGCATCCCGTCTTTAGAGATATAAGCCTGTAACTGCGTTTGGCAGTACTTGAACTTTGAAAGTTGAAACAAAGTTCTAGGGCACACTGGCGTGTGCGTATGCAAGCACAATGATATCACTCCCCAGGCAGCAAGTGTTTCTGTTGCTGTCAGGCTGTGGTCAGCCTGAGCTTGTCTTTCCATCTGCTTCATCCTTGGAGCTGACTACCGCGGCCACTCACAGGGTGGTTTTGGCAGTGGCAGGGTACAGATGCCCAGCTTGGGCAGGAGTTTTTGAAGCAGTGGCATCTGGGTGTCAGCTTGTCTTCCCAGCTGGTCTTCTCAGTAGTCGTGTCTGGCTAGACTTGTGGCTCTGCTGGCAACTTCAAAGTTGAGGTCATTCTCTGTGGCTTGCTGGCCTTCCCAGAAGAGCACTTCCGTATGATTAGTGCCTCTGAAGAGGCTAAAAGCTATCTTCGTATATAACTTTAAAAGTAAAATCACTCAGGAAAGTCTCATGAAATTCACATAAAAATCTCTCAAAATGACACAAGAATGTGACAGAGATTTCCATTCTCATTTAAAATTTCTGCTCTGCTCTACTAGTGTATGGTGGATTTTTGCTTCATTACAAAATAAAGGTTCATAAAGTCTGGAATAATTTTAGAAGATATACCAGAACATGCCTAAAATTACTAATGTACAGGGCAAACTCCTTAATGTATTGGTGAAACAGTCACCATCATTCTTATAGCAGATTGACCAAAAAACATTTCAGTCACAATACCTCCTGCTCTTACGGCTCTCAGCAATGAAGTGAAAGAGGAACCTAAAATTACTGCTTCTTCCTCCCAATAGGACAGAAATAAAACAATTTTTTTCTAATGTAGGAATTTTCATTATATGAATTTTCATTTATTTGCAGATAAACAGCAGATAAACGTCCTTCACTCCTCTGTTCCCCTTGTGAATATGTAAATAGGGGAAATAAAAAATGCTCTAGAGCTTGGCAAACCCAAAGCAGCCGAGTACATTGCCTTATTTTTTTTCTTCTCTCTTGCTTTACTACCAATTCTGAATGCTGCCTGAAGACTTGATTTTGAAGTTTGCTATTTTCTCATGCCTCTGACAACACTGGTGGAAACAGAGTATAGCTGATCCCTTGGATGTCTCACAAATTCCCTTTCAGGGGTTGTGTTTGTATTCAGAGGGGGTTTGATAGTTAGCTGAAAATTAAAATGTGTGTAATTGCAGTAACAAATGCTTACAGGTTTTGTCAGTGGAACCATTTTTTTTTTTTTTTTTTTTTTTTCCGCACCACTATTCTGGAGCTTGCATCAAACTCATGTTGCAAATACAATCTAGTACATATGCAGAGATTTTGCTGTATTAAAAGGAATATAATAGAAAATCAAGGAAATAATCATAACCCTGGATTTACTGTGAGATCAGGCCAGAATTTCTGTGTCTTGTTTTAAGAAACTTTTTTTCTACAATAAAATACATACATAGTAATGAATTCAGGTAGATAGTGAGTATGATTTTGAGAAGATGACCATATTTGAGGCATTTGAGTATTCTTATTTTTCTACCTCAGAAACGAATTAGGATACAAGACAATAAAAATATACCTCACTGTATTTTAATAATATATCTTACTCTAGGTATTGAAGGAATCAATTGTTCAGCTACACTCACACAACACTACTCAAGCATTAGACCTGGTTCCATAATTCTGTTTTCTAGCATAAAGCAAGTTCCCATTTGGTATTACGCAAAGACATTCAGTCTATACTACCGTGGATATTCAGGAGCTGCGTTTTTCTCTGCACACTGTGAAGGATCAAAAGGGCATTATTTTCTAAGTTACCAGGAGATTTTTGGTTGTTCTTGATTATTTTTTGCACTTCAAAGAAGTGACTCTTGACCTAGAGGACTACCAAAACAATACTGTCATGTGAACATCCTACCTTCTCTTGTTTTAAATAAACACACTGTTTACACCCTGAATTTTGATTTCTGTGCACAATCAGATGCTTTGAGTCATGCTTTGTAAGTTTTAAAGGATTCTACCCTTTACAGGGTGGACTTCTACACTGTGTTAATTTATGCCTTCACTAGCAGACTGAACAAATATAATATTAAAAAAAGAGAATTGTTTCTTTAGTATTACAAATCCAGCTTCGGTTTTGGAGGTTTTGCTGTTGTGTTTTTTTTTCCTGTTTTTCTAATCTAGCTTGCATATTTTCTATTCTAAAAAGGAAATGTTGATGGTGTGAATAAAATTCAGATTACTCTTCTACAGGATATTGACTCTTCAGTGAGTAGGGAGTAAAAGGGGGTAAAGTATAGTAATGTGTATATGTCATTTTTTACTGGAGTAAATACTCTGAGTAAGAAACTCCCTTTCTTGCTGTCACTCGGTTTATATAATTTTTTCAAAAGAAAAGAATGAAACAGTATAGATACAAAATCCATTATAGGTCTAACTGACATGTGTGGATTAGGTTGGTAAATAAGTGACTGTTTTGTTTTGCTGTACAGCATAGGGTAATCTGAGTTGGATGCATGTTCATGTAGGCTAAGATCTTCAAAAGCAGTCCTCTCAAGCTTTCACTCTATTATACATGCAGAACTATGGCTGCTTCTCTAAGAGCATAAAAAGCAGAAAGAGAAGGAAGGCAGTGTACCCAAGTACCTCTTATATTTTGCCCTAGAGCTCTCTGCTAGTAAACCAAGCAAACTTTTTGGGAATGAGGCTGCAGTTTTCCAGAACCAAAATAGAACAGTGCCAAACTGAGAAAATACAATGCATTTCTGATTTGTGGGTGTTCGAAGGCAACAGACAGTGAGCTGTCAGTGAAAAGTGAGGGTGTAAACCCAAATTAAATGGGGAGCAAAGAGAGGATTGTGATGGCACGTAAGAAATAGGATTTTTCCTTATTCAGGTAAAATCTACTTTTAAGAAAGTGGGTTTGGTGGTGTGTCATTTGGAGTGGTTTATTTTGTGGGTTTGGGGTTCTGTTTTGATTTTTCTGTGAAGAATAGCTTAACACAGAAGAGGAAAAGTGCCCTGTTGAATAACAAGGATTTGCTTGGTTGCTTTATTTGAAAGTTGCTTGGAAAAGATCTGCAGAGCAGGGAGACAAATGCGACTGAGCAGAAGAGATTTAGTTGCTGGGATTCTTATTAACTCTTTAACTGCTTACTTTTCTTAAAAAGAGAGGAAATCTGGAAAGTGGCTGCTCTGGAAACTCTCTTAAAACTCTTCCACATGTAGCCCTTTCCTGGTCTCTAGGCACCATCCTTTATGGAAATCCAAAAGATAAATGTCAAATTTGTGGATCACCATGGGTAAGATATTCTGATAGGAGAATGTCTTTTTAGTAATAATAAAAAGCTGTATCTGGCAACTAATGGTAACTGGAAATTAAAATTTAGCAGAGTAAATCAATACCCCTGAATCTCCATGGATTTGAAGAAGAGTGCGTGTAAACTCTGGAAACAGGTGGAAAGTATCTTTTTTTTTTTTTTTTTTTTGAATCACTTCGCTCAGCCAACTTCCACTGCTAAAGTTTTACCACTTATGGTGGACACCACTGCATGCCAAAGATCTGATCTTGTGTTGCTGGCCCTGTCTTTCTTTGAAAAATTAAATACATAGCTGAGGATTACTAGTACGGTGTTGTTACTAGAGCTTTTGTCATCAATTATTTTTCTCTTTATTTCTCATGTAAATTGAAGAATAAGGAAGCTAAAATCAATAGCTCCAGAGAAAGCAGAACAGTAACCAGTCTCCTGTGTATTTGGTGTAGAGAGATAAATTATAAGACCAAAAAAATACTGTCATTTCTCCTCCCTCTGTTCTGAACAGTTGCATTAGTATTATATTTTATTGTGCCAGAAATTACTAAGCAAATTGCTCAAATGAACAAAAAGAACAAGATCTTAATCCCCCCTTTTTTTTTCCTCCTTGCTGAAAGGACTGGCAAAGTAGCAATCCTTGTCTTTTGTTGATCGATAGCTGTACTCCTTCTGTAGCTTGACTTTATATTTGAACTGCGATCTCTTATGTCTTTTGAGCACTGCATTGCAGTGGTGTAGGTAATGCACAGGCAATGCAAGTGTGCCAGAGTTCCTTTGCTAGAAGGGTCCAGGTGCCAAGCAGGAAAGGTGAGAGTGAGCACTGGTATTTGTCTGAATTGCCTTGACTTGAACATGTCAAACATACACAGCTTTTAGTTTATACTTATGTCTTCTTTTGTTTTGTTTTGTTAGCTGCATTATTCCATTTCTTTGAGAGGATGCTCAGATAAACAAAGAGGCTCATTCTTATTATTGTTTGCAGGTTTCCAACCTGTACCTCTATGACAGTGTGCTCATGCTGGCCAACGCTTTCCACAGAAAACTGGAGGACAGGAAATGGCACAGCATGGCAAGTCTGAACTGCATGAGGAAATCCACCAAACCTTGGAATGGAGGACGATCCATGCTGGAGACTATTAAGAAGGTGAGAATAGACAAACTACAGTTGTGTGAGCAATTGAAAAGAGTTGCTTTGTTTCTACTTGAAAATAGCTTTTGAAGACGTTTTTGACCTCTATTCTTTTTTTTTTTTTTGATTTATTACAAGCAAGTGATTTACAACTACCAGGAATGATCTACAGCTATTAAACAAGTGAATGATTTATTACAAACATACTACACACGCTGCACTGTTGCTCCAGTGGTTTGTGTATTACTTCTCTTGTTCTCATAGCTACCTTCTGTGGATGTAGTGTTATTAGGAAATCATACAAATTGGTGTGTGCGTGCATCATAGTAATTTCCCCAAGAGAACTTTAGGAGCTTGAGGGGCCAACCAATGGTAAGGTTTAAGACCTACGTTCCACTTGCTGGAGCTCAACTAGCTTTGTAAGTTAGCTGAGCATTAGTAAGTATTTGTGTACTGTAGCCCAGAGAAAAAGGGATCTGATTTAGCTGAATTGTCACTAACAGTCACGCTGTCTTGCAGCATGATGAATTACTCAAATACGGACAGTACTGTGTCTTTGCAGATGCATGGTAACTTCTTGTATGAAAGGTATTTGATCACAAATACTAGTGGAAAAAATACCCTTTTTTTCCTATGCTAGCTTTAGCAATTATTTAGGAAAAAAAACCCTGTTCCCCCATAGAGTTCTTTTCCAACCTTAATGATTCTATGATTCTATGATATATTGATGAGGTGGTTTTCCTCTGGTAAAACGGTGCGATTTGAACAAGTGTTATGTTATGCTCTGACCAGTCCTAGTGACATAATCCTTTGTTGCTAAAGTAATTCCAACTTTAGTGTCATTTCAAGCTGCTTTGCTGCAAACCCAAAATCAAACTCTGTGATACTTTCACAGAGAGGTTTTAATAATACTTAAAATTTTCATCTTCTCTCCTGGGAGCACAGCAGGCATATTCCTTCTTTTGGGCTTGAAGTTCATGCACTTGTATTCAACTCCATAACTGAACCTGCCTCCCTCAGCTACACTGAAAGGGCTGTTGTCTCACATTCCACCGAGGTCCTTCTCCTTTACCTGGGGATCTGTTTCTGTGAATGAAGACCTGTTGGCTTTTTTCCACAATATGCAGTGGATATGTTAATGCTAAAGTAATTTTCTTAAAAAAAAAAAAAAAAAAAAAAGGAAAAAATCTTTTGTCTGGCACTATGTTTGAGCTATTGAAAAACATGTAATTGCTACACTTAAGTTCACTGTAAATGTTCTCAAAGCAGATTTGGCATACTTTTAATGAGGAGTAGTGTTTATAAAGGCAAGTTTGTTATATACTAAAATTTCTGAAACTTATTTCCTTAGGGCCATATAACTGGGCTTACTGGTGTTATGGAGTTCAGAGAAGATGGCGCCAACCCCTATGTTCAATTTGAAATACTGGGCACTAGCTACAGCGAAACATTTGGCAAAGATGTGCGGAGGGTAAAGATATGCTGCTTCTTTCTCTCGTTTTCCTCTAAATAATATGCATTCTGATTCACAAGACAAAATGTTATTCTTTAAGAATGAATTAGTGCAACACAGCAGAAGAAATTTACTGTAAGATAAATATTTTCTAATATCTTATACACTTAAATCTTGAAAGCTGATTTTGTTGTTTCCACATGTGCAGTAATGATGCAGTGCCATAACAATACTGTGAACATGATAGTGAAGACTGCATGATTCTACTCATGTATTTTATTGTTAATTAAGATATAATTGATATAACTGGTACTTGTCTTACTGAGGAAGCGAACTGAGAATGTAAATTACCTACACACACAAAGATGTTTCAAAGTATAACTGCTGCAAGAATTTGAGAAAAGTAAATTAAACCACTCTAGAGAAGAGAATCTCCAAAACGGATGATGCTATATTGTGTAAAGTAAAGGATGGTGGCTGGTGGAACAAGGATTGATGGGGATTAGAAGGCACTTTGAGTGGTGCCATGTGGTTACTAACATAAATTGTGATGCGATGAGAAGTCTGCCTTGAACGTGTTCAAGCAAAGGGAATGCTCTGAAAATACTTGAAACTCTCAATTGAACAGTGAGGTTCTGACAGGAGCCCAAGCTACAAAATGCCACTAAACCAGTTAATGGGTTGAAGTATGGACATTACCACTGTACGGTCAATGGGTCCTACATTAAGCAGAACTGAACAGAGAGAATTGCATGAAAAATTAAAATGTATGACGTTTTCTATTTTCATTTGACCATTGATTTTATGTGTTTTGTTTTGATTCATCTGAATTACATGAGTCTGGATTGAAAAACAAGCAGAGAATTTGTGTTTACGTTATCATCTTAAACAGCTAAACCTGAGATTCTTTCAGAGTCTAATTTGGCACAAGGATTCTGGACATGGAGCTAAAGGTTTGCAATATTTATTAGAAATTCAACAGAAGGAAGAAAAGTATTTGAAATGCATAAAGCTCCACGAGATATAATTGCAAAAGTTCTGTTGCCAAAAAATGTCTCTGCAGACTTCAGATTGGCTAGGCACCCTCCTGTATTGTAATGACCTGAAAATGCTGTTTCTCAGACCACTTCCATTTCTAGAAGATTTCTACTGCAAATGAGGAAGTCTAAGTTCCACACACTACCTGAATTATTAAAAACTATCTTAATTTTAGAAACAGTGTTGTCTATATAATAAAATGGAGTTGGCTTAGGAGGTCTAGGAAGTAATTCAATTTCATAAACACAAGTAAGCACCTCACTTAATGCGCAAGTATGCAGAAAAGAAGTATTTCATGCTGTGTGAGATGCTTTGGACAATCCTAGTGTGGTTCCAGCTGCCACTACAGAAAAGCATGAGTGTCCTGTCAGTGCAGTGTTATCCCTAGCAGATGGATGCCATGGGGCATTTGAATTGGGTTCCATTTTGTTACAGATTTCCCAAGAGCCTTTGAATAAGTCACGCAATCACTTTATGCTTTGATTTACCTTTCAGTAAAATTAGCATGATCTCAGAATAGGTTTGAAGCCTTAAAGAGAAATTAGGATGTATGAGTATACATTATTACTTTTTTTCTAACGTACATTTCAAATATGTGTAGCACAGCGAGCAAATTGAGATATAATCCAGATGTGTGAAGTGGAGATAGCTAAAATATTGGTCAAAAGGGACCACAAGCCAAACAGCCAAACAGGTAAAATTACTATGTAGGAAAATTACTAAAATGGCTAAATTCATATACTACTGATAACTTTTTATCCCTAATGTGCTACTTTAGGATTAGCTGGTGAATATAGAAAGGCTTGAATCTTTGGATGCTAAATGCAGAACACTATACCGTTCCCAAAATGAAAGGGAGTATAATTCTAAATTAGTAAAAAGCTACTGGCCGTGGAATACTACTCTGAGCTAAAATGAAGTTCTAAAAATTATCCTGTAGCCTAAATATGGAGAGAGTAAAAAGTCAGCAACATGCTAGAGAAGTCTGTAGAAGAACTTGGAAGAGATGATATTTCTTAGGGCAAAATTACCATGCAACTATTGGTATTTATTTATTTACACAGCCTGACTTTTTATTATTGCAGCAAAAATATATTGCAGCTCAAAAGTACTTCTAAAATCTCAGAAAGTCATGCTCATCTTGTTTATGTTGTTTGAGTGAGAGATCAGTTCTAATTCGTTGTCAGTTGTTTCCATATTGTCTCTTCCACAGATTTAGCTGTGGAGGAACATGTTTTTGGTGAAAAAGAGATGGTCCTTTCTGCATGGTTTTCTTTTCCTGCATTTGGAGACCATCTGTATCTATTCATCCCTGCCCTGACCCCACAAAAAGCCTTTGCACTTAGGATCTGTGACAAGGTAGGGCAAAAGAGTATAGCATTGAGTGTTGAGCCTTAAAGGGAACCCAGTCAAAAGCTAGTGGACTTTTAGTACACAGCATCCCTTAGAAAGTTTCTTGGGAATCATTTCCACCAGAAAGACTCCTAGGAGAATGTCCATGATAGTGAGTTGTCTGGCAGGAATTTTCAGGGCCTTTCTGTAGATACATCTTGAATCCTTCCAGTTGCCCTGAGATCTGGTCTTTCTGCAGAAAATTATTCCTTCTACTAGATGTGATTGAGTTATGAGTGCAAGTAAACACATGTATTTGTTCACTTAGTATACCTTCTCCTTTATTCCACAACTATAACACCATATTTTTGTGGTAAAGGCTGATAGTGGCTTTTGTTTATTTTGTGTGTGTGTTTTCTTTTCCTTTGTTTGGATGTACTTTAGTGAAGGGGGAAGCTTCAGAAAATGGTCTAATTTCTTTGGTTGAAGCATAAAAGAATAGGGTATGTCCCTGAAGGTATACCACCTTGCTTTACAAAAGGCTCAGGTGATTGCATTCGATTCACTGTGTGCATGCAGAGGCTGAAAAAGCATGGTGTATTCATGCTTAAAAAAGAAATCAGTGCGGTGACTTATCAGGGCATTTGAAAGTTGAAGGATAAGATTGTCAGAGAAACTGAAGAGTCTTAAGATGCCTAGTGCTTGACGATTGCCAGTATGATTTATGTTCGTGATGTCTGTAAACACATTTAAAAATAGCAGCCTGAGTATCTATGTATTTAAAAAAAAAAAAAAAAAAAAGAACGGAAGAGATAAAGGAAAAGTAAAAAGTATAAAACATAAAAAAATCAACCAAAAAGAAAAAAGTAAAAAATTTTAATAGTTGATGCTATGCTAATGTTTTAAATCTAATGAAATCTGAGTGAAAGAATGAAAGAAACACAGAGAAGTATAATTTGGAAAACCAAGAAAAAGTGGTATAAAGTACTCAGGTGGAGTGAACAGAACAGAAGTGAATGGAGCAGAAGGAATGAGACTAATAGCCTATTATGTTCAAAACCCTTTGAGACATTTGGGATTTGCATTTCTAGTGCATAAAAAACCCCTTTCATCTCATTTTGCCTCTTATGCCCACTTCCCATGCTAAGGGTGTACGCATCAAATTCAGGATCAGCCCTGATTGCTGCAGTTGTCACAGAACCACAGAATGTTAGAGACTGGAAGGGACCTCGAAAGATCATCTAGTCCAATCCCCCTGCCGGAGCAGGAACACCTAGATCAGATCACACAGGAACACATCCAGGCGGGCTTTGAATGTCTCCAGAGAAGGAGACTCCACAACCTCTCTGGGCAGCCTGTTCCAGTGCTCTGTCACCCTCACCGTAAAGAAGTTTTTTCTCATATTCAAGTGGAATCTCCTATGTTCCAGCTTGAACCCATTGCCCCTTGTCATAGCACTGGATGTCACAGAGAAGAGCCTGGCTCCATCCTCCTGACACTCACCCTTCACGTATTTATAAACATTGATTAGGTCACCCCTCAGTCTCCTCTTTTCCAGGCTAAAGAGACCCAGCTCCCTCAGCCTTTCCCTTCATCATATTTGTGGC